TAAAATAAATGAATAAAGTACAATATAAGTTTTTATAATACTTACCTATCAGGTGTACCAAAGTGCTATTTGTTGTATTTTGAAGCCAATGACAACTATATGCCTGCCTATGTATGTCAGAATTGTCACAGACTAGATATATAAAAAAGATAAAATTATGTTACCGAATCTTAATATTAATAATATTTAGTGATCCTGACAAAACTTATTTATAAATATGTAAGAAACTTATATATTTCCGGTGATATGGCGCAACGTGTGTTGCTTGACAGATTTTAATAAAAAATATCGTTAGATTCCTCTTCATTGCTTGAGTACAGTCCATATTACAACATATTAATATGACGATAATAAATATCAGAAATAATTTTAGCCGTCCGGTTATTTTAAACCTTACAATTTAGCAATCCTTGTCTATAGGTACTAGTATTATTTAAATAAAGAACGGAGTTGTTAGTGATGATTTAGTTGCGAGTAATAATTTAAAATAATTTTAAACATTTAAATACTTGTATAATTTGACAAAATTGAGAAATACTTCAAAATAATAAATAGATTTCATTCATGAAAGATAAGAAAGATAAGATAAGACTATTTTCTCCTCCAGTCTATCAATTATTCTAGAATAAATAAACTTACTAAATTATATCATAACTTATCATATAATTTTTTTTTTTTTTTATTTATACTCTTTATTGCACCAATTACAGAACAAAAACAAACAAAATAATGTCAAAGGTCATCAAGTGCACATAAAATTTTTGTCGCGTCATACACATACCTAATTTCCTTCTTATCATATGATTGTACTTATTAATGTTTTCAGTTATTTATTCAACGGACGAGTCTAAATAAACGCATCATCGAACATTAACCTTGAATATTACATAACTTAAGATTTATTAATACATACTGAATAAGTCATTTTCTTTATTTGGTATACTGAAGTTTTATGCGCTCACAATATCGTGTGCAACTGTTGAATTTTCAAGTACTATTTATTGAATAAAGAAACCTCGTAGTATTAATATCTGCAATATTTAGAAACTGTCTTTTGGAAGTTTGTAGAGCAATTTAACGTTTTGTTTTTTAAAGCAATTGCTACTTTGAAGTGCTAATAAAAATAATTTAACACGCTGTTTCTAAGTACTTACTAACATTGCTAAAAGAGATCCCTTAAAAGGTACTTTTAATCACTTCAATGCGTATCTCGAGATATATAAGCTGAAACTATTGGAAATGTTCAAGAGGCAACTACTTAAAGTGGAAAGCATTTTACATAAATTTCAACCGGCTGCAAACTAAAGCGAAATTGCGAAAGTTTGGAAATGAATATACGAAAAGCTTTTACCCAAACGTTAGTTTCGAAGTGCGGTTCAGGTGATAAGTGAGATTCCATGATTTCTATATATCACTACAAATGTTATGCACATTATACAAACATAAATATATTTTTTATCAGTGTCCTAGCCGCGGTTCTTACATTCTCATTGTAAATATTCCGTTTCTATATTTAGTATAATTATAACCAGACGTGAAAATAAATTAATGATTTAGAACAGTGATTAACCTTTGAATACATTATTTGCGGTATCGTAGTTTACAGAGCAAAATACATTTAAAAAAAAAAGCGTAATGTTATTACAACAACAATATCATTTTATTGCCATTATTCCATGTATTAAAAAGGGAAAATTAAGAGTTCTATTGAGATAATATTTACTTTTAACCTTGTAAAGTTGGATTGATAAGACATGAATGCACCACGGATGTCATCACTTGACACTCGTGTTATTTTTTTTTTATCCCGTGCCATTTCCGAAGAATAAATGTAAGTTTCTATTATGCCTTGTACCCTGTAATTTCACTGCCATATCTCATACCCTTAAAACCGGAACACAGCTTATAAAGCAAGCGATGAAGGAAAAACAGAGTTAACCGCATAACTTTCTTCCTCTGTGATAATAATAATTTCCTTGGAGGATAGGGATTGTTAGTAATGAGAATAGTAGCTCCATTGATAGCAATGGTGGTTGACCTAACATGGTATGTCAGGTCAAGCACCACGCGGTCCCCCCTGGAATTCGTGGTAAATTCGCCACAATAGGCTATCCAATCAACCTCCACTGGTGCCCCGCCGACGTATACCGTTCAAGCTGGCGGCTGCACCATTCCATTATCATCTATAAAAAAAAATATCAATCAATGCGTCTGTGCATGAACTAATGCATGATATAAAGTACTTTGATAAATGTGACACCTCACGTTACTAGTATACGATTTATGTATTCTACATTCTTTGTTTCATTTTTTTCTTATTGCTTTGTGCGATAGATCATAGATTTTCTACTATATGCGCGATCACAAAAACTAATTATCGTGCAGAGACTATATTCAACACTAGCTAAGCCTGCGGCTTTAGTATGTGTATAACTTTTCTGTTTATAAACTGATTAGAATAAAACTAATTTAAAATTTAGCTTACCACATATTTTAGTGAAAACAGCATCCAACTATGTTATCACAGTAACAAACAGATAGAAATTATAACAATCATTGTTTTGACTGATAAAGTCGTTCTATAGTAGTTTCTCTCGTATATATTTCATGTTTGTACAGACAGTAATCAGTAACACTTTTATTCAAGTATAAATTTATAACCATACATAACCGATATACATATTTTATTTCTTAAGTATACCTACGCAAAATTCGACCTACGATTAAACTGTCGTTGAACTGCCTTTAGTAAAAAATGGAACTTACTTTAACTGTAAAATTCTACTTCCAAACTATGAACGATACTATACGATAAACGCTGCCAATGTTTATCGTATATTTAGTTAGATCTTTACCGCAACATGTAACCTTAACTGGCTTTAATTAAGAGCGATCGATTTTAATGAAAGGGTGTGTCGCTAGTTTCATCTTAATTTGTTAAAGTGCTGTAACTTATACGGGACTCTATAAAATAAGGTCAGCAGTCATAAAGTTGAAATTTTCAGAAATGATGACCTTGACATTCGGCATGTGGCAGAGAAATTACATAAAATAACTCACTTTAAATTACATATAAACTGTACCTATAGAATTGAATGAAATTTAGAACAATATAAAATATATATTCATATTTAATAATATACAGACTAACGACATGGTTCCCGGAGACAGATCTAATGTTTCATCAATTCGGTAATTAAAATAGTCGAAAATATTAAAAACACTTTCCGTCCATCAACTCTATATCATTTTATTCTATTTCGAGAATATCAATTTAATAATCATAACCCATACTTCCGTACTAATGTCATAATTTCGAAGGTTTATATGTCTATCTATTTGTTTCCATTTCATAACTGAACGAACGTCTCTTATTTAAAAATTTAAGATATGATCCCACATTATCAGGAAGGCGGAAAGAGACTACTAAACATTGCCTGTTTCTGTCTTCATTAAAATAAAAAGAAATCAATGTTGCGGGTAAATGGTTAGTATACTTATAGTATAGAATGATTCTCAATTAACACGAATTATTTAAAGGTAAATAAAGGTATTTAACCCTCTCGATGTTTCGGCTAGGTTGAACCACATTGGTGATACTCAATAGATGACTCACGCAGACGAAATCTCGAGCATTCACGCGGTACGGTACAATAATTATAAATTCACGATGAAGCGGCGTACGTACATAAATCTACCGATCAACGACCTATATAAACGTACGAGTTGTGATATAAAAAAGTCACATGTGCAGTTTTGTAAATACGCATTCTGTAATCCATTCAGAACTTGGAATTGGGTCAGCTGTTGCAGTTGGCAGTCAGCGGATGCAACGCCGGCACGGCACGCTCTAATCCCAAACAAACTTGCATTAAACATTATACTCGAGTGGAAATAGAGGTTTAGAAAAAAAAAGAAAGAAGCGATAAAAGTTAGCAATACTTTTTTTCTTACTACCAAATGTAGTACAGGCCAAAATTAAAGGATTTTAAATTATTGCAGTAATCCATAGGATTTATATTGATTCTTGCACATACAAGTGACATCAGGATTTCTAATGATGACTACATACTTGATATAATGACCATAATGGATATAATCAACTAATTACCTCATTTATCCGGTTTTGCTTCTTCGGTAAGACAATAGACGACTATCTCCAATAGACATAAACAAAACTGTTACTGTCACGCAATGTTACACTTTGGTACTTGCATACTGTTTAAAACTAAGAATTAAGGCTGTCAAATGAATATAAAAAAAAATTAAAAACGTAGGTTTACTTTGCCTGTTTGAAAATAAGAATGAATGCACTGAAATTATAGTTAATAGACATTTAAAAAGATAGTATAGTTAGTAGTAAATTTATTCCATTTTTTTTTTTAATCCTTCATCAATTTACTCGTAATCGAGTTGCTGTTACTGATTAATGTATGAAAGTATCCGATTAACGTTATGTACGCCTACATTTGTATCTGAATCCGGTCGGCTGTGCACACAACTTGTTTCCGTGGCGTCGTATATCTAAAATTAACACGTCCAGCTGCATCTCTAATCGCCTGCTACCAGACATACCCGTTCCGTGCCAATTTCATCTTAAGTATGCAATGCGTTAACTTGTATTACACGATTTCATTGCAAGCATTTTATTAGGTAATTCCGAGGCGATTGTGAGAGTGAAATCAAAATATAAAATGGAACTGGAATTTTTAAACAAATGTATTTATGTTAATTATCCTATCCGATTACAAAGGTAATCATCAAAATCAGTTCAATGATATCGCATAACAAACGCATAGATTTAGTATAGTATTAAGAAACAAGAATAAAGAGGATTACGAATTTTAAGAAATGAAGATAAATCTTGCTTTGTCTTAATCTCAACAAAAAGTAAATTTAACCTAATTGTAATGGACATAAAGTTTATATTTAAATTCTTAGAACAGTCCCTGATTCAACGTCGTTCATCGTTTTATTAACATACACATTTTTTTTTTCAGGTCAAAAGTTCCTGTAACGTTGTGTGTGACGGCTTAATTTAAACAAGTAAGTCTTTATTCTCGTTATTATAGAATATAAAATTTCAATAAACTTAATTTCCGGTTTAACATTTCATTCTAATGACATTGATGCTTAAAAAGTTACAATAAACAAACAAATTATTATTGTATAGTCCCCTAATCCCACAATGCTTTACTGTAACCGTACTAAAAGAAATTTACGACCATTCAAAAAGCATTTATTCTTTACTCGACAGTATTCGTAATCAATTTTGTATTTTATTTATTTTGTTCCTGTGTTCTTTTAGTCCAAACCTATTTATATAATCTAATTTTATTATGGATATGTTTTTGTAGCAATAAACCCTTAATTTAAACCGAATAGTCACTATTAATTCAATCAGATCTGGTATACTAATTAAAAATTATACGAACAATGTAGTAACAAGAGTAATGTCAACGCAAGTTCTACTGATTTCCTCATTCATTGCATATACCTATATCTTTGCATTTAATTGTTTCATAAACTTTGGTAACAAGGCTTTATCGCTCAGTAAATAGTTCCTACCAATAGCTGTATTCAAATAACGATCAAAACATGCAAACCTTCTTGAGTTAATCAGAAATATACATTTGATATATCGTTTATATAGGTTTGTATATTTCTGATGAGGAATTTTATTGTATCCAATTTTATCAATATGAAGTATTGAAAATCAAATCCTTAAACATTTAACTTAACAACCGATGCCAGGGCAATATCAGCTGTAATCTTTCTGACAGCCTCGGTGGATTAGCACACAGCTTTACTAAGTCGTGGGTTCGATTCCTCGCACGGTACAAACATTTGTATCTGTCTGGGTGTTTTCTATGTATAATATGTATTTAAAAAAAATGCAACCATTTATTTATATCAGTTGTGTAGTATCCATAACACAAGCTCTGCTTAGCTTGGGACTAGATGGCATTGTGTGAATTGCTCTGAGATATTATTATTATATTCCATTGTTCCAAATACCTGCACGGTACTATTACCTAGTTTCAAATAATTTCTACATCGATAAAATTTTATTAGCCAAGAAGAAAACTTTTATGAGGTATCTACTTAAATTCGACTATAAAGTTAATCTAGTTCACTATGAAAATGTCGATTCGTTTAAATAACACTAAATCAGCATCGTAATCATGCTTAAATAAAATTATGCTTGTAGAACTGATTTCTTGTTTTGTATATGTATGTGGGCTTAGTTACTGAATTAAATTAGTCTGCATATTTTTACTCATAGGCACATTGCAGCACGCATTCTAATTATAATGTTTGATCATGTTACAATACACATTATCAAATGAAATATTATTATATAAAATCGTAGTAAATGAATTCATAATCTTAAATTTTAGAATGTTTTGTAACAATTTTAAGAATAGTTACGAAATATTTAAGATTTTATAAACGCCGAATAAAAATAGGATTTGTTTATTCTGATGACACAAAATATTAAATGTAACGTAAACACAGTCGTGTTAGCTAGTTTTCTTTCCGTAGACAAATTAAAGTACTTCAAAGGCTTCCCGGAATCTGTAGGGAACTACAATTCAGTGGTACCCTTCGGGTTTAGCGACCTGTCTAGACGTTACGTCTGCAATAAAATACCACGAGCAGGTTCCTTTTATATCAAACAATGTACATCCGAACGTCTTCACAATATTTCTAAGAAGTCTGGCGCATATTAAGCAGACAGCAGTCATTTTTATATTCTTTATTATTAATTTTTTTCTGATGGTGGTGTTATGCGGTTTTAGGTATTTGGGGAATAAATGTGCTGGTAAGCTAAACACCACCGATAAAAATATATCAATCGGATAATATGACACCTTCAATGAAAGGTGCCAATTAAACTGGGTTGGTTATACAAAGCTAATCGTATTATGATTCCTGTAAAGTACAGTTATTAGAGCTTCAGCGTGATTTGGATGAATGAAAGGTACGATAATTGATCTTAATCTTATTGCTTAATTAATTTTAAATGCACTCTCACACAAAGCTTTTTAATAATCGATCGACCTCTGTAGCCTAGCTGAACATCGACTTACTTCCGATAATTGCAGATTCGAAAATTTTAGTCCATTCAGGGTTCTTTGTGTGAATCTGGGTGTTTTATATGTTGGTATGTATTTAAATATATATATATATAACTATTTCTAGCAATTGTTTAGTACCTACATAGTACCAACTCTGATTAGTTTATCACTAGATGACGATGTCTGGTTTGTCCTGGCTTACATTTATTATTTCTCTCTCTCTCATTCTATTATTCGTTTTTGTCAAACAAAAACCATTTCAACACCGCGAAGCATTGTTTCAAGCCCCATTTGCATTGGTCTTAAAAGGCTCGTAATAATCGTGCTAAGGACAGGCAAATAAATTGCACCATACTGTTATGCATCTGTCGTATAGAGGTGTTTTGGTAAAGTCGCCGCCTAAATCACAGCCGGCTGCAGACGCCCCTCCTGTCGCGACACATTGCAGCATCCAGGGCTTTTATAGCGATATTAAGTAAATTTGGTGTAGTATATTTGTTTGGATATTTTACATATAGGTTTTCATCGATCGATACTTATATTTTATAGGGAGGACAAGAATAATGACTTTATTATCGTGATTGAACATTATTGGATTTTATTGGAAGTTTTATACATTTACACATGACACCATATTAACACAAATCAACCATATTTAAAAAAAAAAAGATTTTCAGGTATACTATTAGCGAGCTCTGACGTTGGACATCATACTTTTTTTTATACTACACTGGTGGCAAACAAGCATACGGCCCCTCTGATGAATAATGGTTACCATAGCCTTTGAACGCCTGAAGACACCAGGGGTCACGTACGCGTTGCCGACCCTAACTTGGCATTGGCAATGAAATTTGTTCCTGAACGTACTAAATAATATTCTAACAATTTTGATGTGACAAAGGAAACGAATATTCAATAAGCCGTTGTAGATGTAATGACTAATGAATTATGTTAAACGGTGACCTAATCATGACTATTTAGTCTAGGGATTTTGACAGGTCTACATCGTGTCATTTCTTTGTGTCCGAACGAACCCCTACATTCCAACGGGGAACAAAATAACGATAGCTTGAGCTGAGGTTCAAGGGTAACCTCAAACTAAAGTCGTCAAGCAAGAGTTGACCTACAAGCGTCCCGTAATTCCTTCCTTGGAGTGCCTTCTACATTCGCATTCACGTTCGTATGGTCATCTACGACCAAGAATATTAGAATAGTTCTAAAAAAAACTTTGTGATTTTAATCTTCTTTAAGCTAATTTATAATCAGCGCAAATGTAGTGAAGTTACAAAGTATTTATTGTAATATCCTTAAATCATTAAGAAATAATGGCATAGAAATTTTGTTAAGATTCAGTCAAGTGTAACACTAAGATACGGTTTAATGTTCCTTTTTACGAATACATTTATCTTGTCTCTATCGCTCTCTCTCTCTCTAATACACACAGTATTGAATTTAGTTTTCATTCTATATTTTTCAATACGGTATTTAAACTATTATAGTAAACCGACAATCCTTAAATTTAAACAAATTTTAATCAAAGTTGTTAGAAATGCGAATATCATAGAAAAGGTTTTTGTAATCCAAAATTAATCTGCTTAATCTTCAGTAACAAACCATATTATGAGTAAGTATTAGCATAACTAGTTCTGCAAAATCCTTTATTAATTATTTATATCTGGTTTGAATATTTTGTTTTGACTTAATGGTGACAGGTTTCCGTTAATCGGAAATTAGAGACGCTTTGGCATTATGCTTAATACGGCAAGTGACCTTGGAGTTATTAATGCATATTCAAAACAACATTCAATTTCATTATTACACATATACATAAGTAAATTAGAGTATATATATAGTAGTGAGATTTAAACATTCCAATGAAATATTTAAGATACTGAAAATTTATTCATAAAGCTCAACCCGTTCAAATCTAGAAACTTCATTCGTTGTACCAAAAGTTCATTTCGTAGTATTTTTTAAGATGTAATAACTCTAATCCTTAAGATATTTAAGTTAAATATAATACTAGCTATTTTACTCGGCATCGTGTGCTTTTCTATTAGATAAAATGTAGCATATGTTCGTCCACGTGATACCATATATCTTCATGTCAAATATTATTTATAATATTTGTATACATTTTAAATATTAAGGATGTTAATATTTTTTAAATAAAGCAAATTGTAAAACTCTTTCGACTTATATAAACACTGGTGTCATGTATTTAACAGCAGTCAGTTTGACCTCATTTCAGTCATACAATGAGCTGAATTATATCTAGCGTCAAAGGGGTATTTTGAACGCGTGAATCATAAAGCAGCGCACTTTGGTTGCTAAGTAGATCATGGCTTTGCGTTATTAAACATACATTTTATACTTACATTTTTATCTCAAATAAATAGGACGCGACATAATGACGTCCTCGACCAGAACAATTTTACCTATTTCTATGACGAACACGGCCCATCTGATGATAAGTAGGAACTATCCGTTACTATATATACATGGACTATGATACCGCTCATGCGTACTCTGGAGGACTAAGACATCGTGTCTCTAAATATCCTGCATCTTAAAACATATAGATATATACTTATATAACCCTTTCACCGAAAAACCACATAAAAAGCAAGCTGCTTGATGCCAGAAATTGACAGTAATAACTATTCTTAGATACAGTCTACTGAGTCGCAAAACTTATTGTCTGATCATAGAAATAATATATAACCAATGTGGATAAAATTATTGAGGCTTCATCTTTAGAGGACAAAAACAATTTCCGTTCATCTTTTATATATCTAATACCTACATTATATATACTTGTTATTACTTTTCGTGCTCTGAAACATCTGAAATGAAATATAATTTCGTTCTTTTCAATGTTTGAAATTGAATAATATTTTTTCATTAAATGCAGTCAGTCTCGCACGTTTTTAATTTTCATTCTCGTTATGTTTCCGGATTGGA